TATGCCTGGCCTTATGCAGTTAATAGAATATGCATGGCCCATAATTTACACTATTTTGTATAAATTTTCTTAAGACTGAAAATTTATATCTTAATACCAATAGGAGCTGGGCATAGTGGTGCATGCCTTTAATTCCAGCACTCGAGAGGCAGAGGCAAGTGGATCTCTGTGAGTTCAAGGCTAGCCTGGTCTACTTAGTGAGTTCCAGGCCAGCTCGGGCTATAGGGAGACCCTGTCTCAAAAAGGCAAAAATTTTTTTCATTTATTATTTTTTTTATGTGTATGAGTGTATTTTATTTTATGTGTATAAGTGCATGTGTGTAAGTGCACCCATGTCATGCACTGCTGAAGGAGGTCAGATGAGGATGTCAGATCCCCTGGAACTGGATGGAGGGTTGTTAGCTGCCATGTGGGTGCTGGGAGCTGAATCCAGGTCCTCTGTAGGAGCAGCCAGTGCTCTTAACCACTGAGCCATCTCTCCAGCCCCTATATTTCACTTTTAAAAACTAAGTAAGAGGCAAACCTGATAATTCTCAGGGTGAATTGTTCCTTTTTTTTTTTTTTCCCCCTTTATTTTGTGTTTTGAAACAGGGTCCCCCTGTAGCCCCAGCTGGCCTGGAATTCGCTTTGCAGACCAGGCTGGCCTTGAACGCACAGAGATCTACCTGCCTCTGCCTTCTGAGTTCTGGGACTAAAGGTGTGCGCCACCATGCCAGGCTATGAATTGTTCTTTTAAAGAGGGCTGTCTGCCTGTCTGGATTAGAATTATAAATTTTCATATGTGATCTTGGTGTAAGTACCCATAATCCAGAGAATAAGGAACATATTAAAGTGAACAGCAGAGGTGCCCAGGGCATGGTGGGGCAGGGACAAAAGCATACACGGAGCAACCAAGTCTCAAAGAAGGAAAGACCAATCTCAGAGAAAATAGGCTTGGAATCATAGTGCCAAGAAAGCAGGGGTTAAGATTCAGTGGAGCCTCCCACTCAAGGAGGCTCTCATCCTCTTTGCCTCCTTGTGTTGCAGCTGCCACTGGTAGCAGCTTGTCTTCTGCAAGGACTGGCCCTGGGGTGCTGCAAATTCACATGGGCTTCCCAGGTCTAACCACAGTATCTACTGTAGCTGATTAGTAATGGAGGTATATTACTAGAAGATCCTTAAGTCCCTTTTAGAAACCAGTAAATATATCATACACAAAACAATGTCAGAACCTGAAACAGTTCCCTTTAAAAACAGGTAAAATTGTCATGCAAAATAATGTCAAAATCCAAAATAGTCCTCATTAGAAACTGGAGATTAATCATGTAAAACAATGTCAAAAACCCATTGTTCATGTCTGGCTGGATATGGTGGAATGGTCCTTGGCTGACTGCACAGGACAATGCCTTCCCTTCCTTTCTTGTGCACACCCATTGTCTTTGTGAAAGACATTCATTGTCTGTGGCCACTCAGCATATTTCCAGGAAATACTTTTCCATTTCATCTCATAATATTGGCATTGGGTAAATAAAAGTAAACAATGCATATATTTTCTGTCCTCTACCAAAGGTGTAAAGGTGATGAAAGTTTGTAGGTACTCCTGAGAATGGTAGTCATTTTTTCTTATTTTATGGTGCACCAAAACCTACACAAGAAATCTTAAGTTCACTCTTTATTCTCCTGGTTTAGAACCAAACAATAGAATGAAATTGAAAGAGCATAAAATTGGATTTCATAGTAACCAATCATATAAGTTGTGTTGGTGTTTCTTTTAATTTAAAATTTTTATGTATTTATTTTTAAGTGTACGAGTGTTTTACCTGGATATATGTAAGCGCACCTATGTCAATGCCCACTGAGGTCATAAAAAGGGTGTCAGATCCCCTCGAACTGGAATTGTGGACAGTTGTTAGCTGTCATGTGGGTGCTGGGAACCGAACACAGGTCCACTGCAAAAGCAACCTGTGTTCTTAACCACTGAGCCATCTCTCCAGCCCCCTATTTTTTTAATCAGAAGGAAAATTTCATTTAAGTTTTCAAAACTCAAAATCTTTTGATCAAGGTACAACATGAAGGAATAGCTCCGGTATTACTATCACTAGGTCCAAATATCTTAGAGATTTTCCAGACAGCCTATGTGAGGCATTCTCCAGACTATCTCAGGAAGAGCACTTACCTCCTCCCTGATACTTCCCAGAACACTATACTGTTTTGTTGTTATTGGTTTGTGTTTTTTTGTTGTTGTTGTTTGTTTGTTTTTAAGACAGGATCTGTAGTCCCAGCTGTCCTGGAACTTGCTAAATAGACTACACTAGCCTCAGTCTCTTAGAAATCCATCAGACTTTGCCTCCTGAGGGCTGGGAGTAAAGGTGTGCCCACTAACGCCTGGCCTGTTTTTTGCAGGTGACTGAGTGTATTGCCTACATGTGGATACTAGAATCCACTCTTGTAAGAGCAACAAGCCTCTTAATTGCTAAGTCGTTTCTCCAATCCCCTTACAGTAAAATCCTTTAATTAAAAAAAAAAATTGGCAACAGGTGTGGTGGGTCACACCTGCCTGTAATCTCAATTCTCTGGAGGCAGAGGAAGGTGAGCTCTGTGAGTTCAAGGCCAGCCTAATCTACATAGTAAATTCCAGGCCAGTCAAGACTACAAAGTGAGACTGTCTCAAAAAGAAAAAGAAACAAAGGATGCAGCTCTGTTGCTAGAGTGCTTGTTTTGGTCCCCCGCACTACATAAATTGGGTATGGTGGCACAGGCTTCTGTAACCTTAGTTCTCAGGAGATAAAGGCAGGAGGAGAAGTTCAAGGTTATCCTGGGCTACAAAGTAAGTTTGAGGCCAGCCTGGGATACAACACACTCTAAATCAGAAAATCAAACATAGTATGGGAGTGCTGGGATTAAAGGTTGCCCATGCCTTTAATCCCAGAACTCAGGAAGCAGAGGCAGGTGGGATCTCTGTGAGTTCAAGGCCAGCCTGGTCTCCATAGTGAGTTCCAGGTCAGGTGGGACTATTGGGAGACCCTGTCTCAAAAAGATCCCCCCCCCAAAATTGCCAAGAATGTTTTTCTGAAGAAAAGACTCTTTCTCTGCTCTTTCACATAACATTTTATCGTAATTAATTTTGAAATAGTTAATTTCATAGTAATCATGGATATCAGGGAGTGTTTAGAACTTTAAAAAGTTTAGTTTATGTCTTAGTTAAGCTGCTGTTTCACTGAATTCTGGCCTTTTACAAAAGACATTTTCTAAAAAGTATAATATCCTAAATTAAAATAAGCACTGCTTTGTTAACACAGTGTGATCAAGACTGATCTTTGTGGTAGTGAACAATTTTATAAAACATTATTTTGCTGGGTATGGTGGCACACACCCTTAATCCCAGCATTATGGAGGAAAAGGCAGGCAGATCTCTGTGAGACAGAGGCCAGCCTGCCCTACATAGATTCAGACCAGCTGGGGCTACAGGGAGACCCTGTCTCAAAACAGCAACAACAATAACCCCCCCCCCCAAAAAAACCCAAACCAACCAACCAATCACCCCCCCCAAATAAAACTACACACACAAAAAAGGGGCTGGAGAGATGGTTCAGTTGTTAAGAGCACTGCCTGCTCTTGCAGAGCACCTGGGTTCAGTTCCCAGCATCAACAAAGGGGCTAACACCTGTTGGTAAATCCAGTTCCAGGGGATCCAACGCCCTCTTCTCCGGTGCCCATGGGCATTGCACACATTTGTACAGGCAAAACAGTCATACACATTAAAGAAACAACTAAGGACATAATGAATTACTTCCTAAAACCTGTATAAAATGGTTACATCTGTTGATTTCTGAATACACAGAAACAAATGAGCATTAGACATGTTAATATTTATAATCATTTGGTGATAGTCACATAATTTTGAACTAGAGAGGGCCTCCACAGGCACATGATTTAAAGTGTCTGCGTAAATTATTTCACTAGTGCTGTATTTGATCTTTATTTTAGATACTTGCTTAAAAATATAATTTTTAGGTGGGTGGAGAGATAACTCAATAGTTAAGAGCACCCACTGCTTTTGCAGAGGACCTGAGTTCAGCTCTCAGCACCCACAGCTAGCCACTTAGCTGTAACAGCCTGTAACTCTAGGGGATTCTCTTTTAGCCTCTGTGGGCATTGCATTCATGTGCATATACCCCCCCATACATATATACACAAAATTAATGCCCTGTCCCATTCCACCCTGCCCTCATTCCAAATTCAACAAATAAATGCAATTTATTTAAAAATATTTTATTATTTTTGTGTGTGTGAGTGTTTTGCCTGCATGTAAGTGCACCCTGTGTCGTGCAATGCCCTCTAAGGTCAGAAGAGGGTGTTGGATTCCCTTGGAACTCGAGTTATGAACAGTTAGCCAGAGTAAAATAATTTAGTTTCCTTCGTTTGTAGTCACTTTCAGAAGCTAAGATGATTTTGTAGAATTTAATAAGCTTATGCCACCTTAGGACAAGAATTCAAAGATGCTGCAATTTGATATTGCTGCTGCTGTCTCGCAGTCCCAAATTGGTGACTTTTCATTATTTCCTGTCCCCTTCATGTGAGAGATTTTGTTTTTGGCGCTCTTGATCTCTAAATAAATCTCTCTTGGGCTATTAGATTGGCTATTTCCCATTTCCCGTTTAAATCACAGGGAGTAACTATGCAGGGTCTGTTGCTCTACGTGTTCTACAGGTTTGCTTCTACCGGGCTTAGCTTGCTTTTCCTTACGGGTTCGCTTCCTCTCTCCCACAGTCTGAGAGGCTTTTTCTCTTCCTCAGTTCCTTCAACTACCTAGCTATGTGGGGGGATTTAAATTCCAACCCGGAACTAGGGAGCCTGCGCCTTGAAGGACGGGAATCGTAGTTTCTGTGACTTCCGCCTAACCGCCTTTCTGGCTGATTCCTGCCCACAGCGAAACCCCACAACTCCCAGAATGCATGCGGGTAGGCCCGCCCCCCCAAGCGCAGGCGCCCTGTGGCCTTAGGATTTGAATCGGCGGCGTTGTTATTGACGCCATATTGGGGCCGGCGGCGGGTGCAGAGTCGTGCTGTGAAGAGAGGAAGCATTCAGGTGCGCCTGCTGGAGCTCTGCGGCCGCAGTCATCTCGCAGTCGCCGCGCGTCGCATCGGCTCGCGACTTCTGACAGTAGCGGCGTGTTGGAGTCCGCGTTCCGGTCGCGCCCTCGGCCGGCTCCACTTCCGAAGGCGGAGTATCTCCGCGCAGGAGGCTCGGCGCTCTTAGCCCGAGCGGACGGCGGGGGCGGCCAGGCCTCTCGGGAGCCGCCCCGAGCCGGCTGCGTGGCCCTCGCGCTGTCGCGGCGGCTCACCGCTCCCAGGTCCCACACCCGCCCGGCGCCTCGGAGGGCCGCTTCGTCCTCGTCCTCCCCGGCCCCGCCCGAGGGCCTCGGCTGCCGGCGGCCATGGCGTGCGGAGCCACTCTGAAAAGGACTCTGGATTTCGACCCGCTGCTGAGCCCGGCGTCCCCGAAGCGAAGGCGGTGCGCGCCTTTGTCGGCGCCCGCGTCGGCCGCTGCCTCCCCGGCCGCCTCCACCGCCACGGCCGCCGCCGCCGCCGCCGCCGCCTCGCCGCAGAAGTATCTCCGGATGGAGCCGTCCCCCTTCGGCGACGTCTCCTCCCGCCTCACCACAGGTGGGCCTCCGCCGCCGGGTGGGCCTGGGAGGGGGCGAGGGCCGGGGGTTCAGGGTGCGGACACAATGGAAGGGCCCGGACGGGGGTTGGGGGTGGGGCTGCGTCTGGCCAGCGCTGTGGGGTAGGGGAAGATTATTTGGGGGCAGAACCACTGGAATTGTTTCCGCAAGTAGAGACCCAGCGGAAATGATCACAGAGGGCGATATTATTCGTAAACTAGGCGAGAGAAGGGTCACATTTCACCCGAATCTCCCCGTCCCTTGGGCACAATCAGTTGGTTGCAGCCATTAACTCTGTGCCTGGGTGGTTTGAGGCGAGAAGGCAGCCCCTCCTCCAGTTTAGACTTGCCTAGTTTTAGTATGGAAGGGGTGGGGCGTGGGGGGTGGATGTCACTGGGGCGAGATGTAGGCCTGTCATTAATCACCCACAAGAACGCCGCTTTGGCTGAGTCAAGACCTGTTTCCCTAGCAGAGTCAACAACAAAGCAAAAGCTCTTCTCGTGTACTGTGTAATGTGATCTCGCTATGTGCCTAGACCTTAAGGAAATACGAACTTTTAATGAAAAGAAACTTGGATTTCAAACTGGTAATTTATTTGTAAATGCTTTAGTTATATCCAACAGAGTATGTGGGGAGAAAACCTAGCCTCAGGAGTAACGAGAAAAATCCAAGATTCATTCCAGTGGACTTCAGACTGCACTTGCTCTTGAAACATTTCCGCAAAGTGACCACGGGCGCTACCTTTAGCTGCTTTGTACAGCATGTGTCTATCTAGGGTTTTTTTTTGTTTTTTTTGGTTTTTTTTTTTTTTTTTTTTTCCTCCTCCCTCGGTACTTTGAAATCCTTGTGTGCCTCTGGCAACCCTACTGTAGGCTTTTGTGGATTTGAAGTTTAAATCTGTTTCCTTTGTGTGTAGTGTGCAATGGTATGTGTGTGAGTGAGCCTTTGGCGATACCTCCTTTAAAGCCTTTTAATTAGTATAGTTTTAAATGTCTTGCCCCCCCCCCTTAACTTTATTTCGAAAAGATAGGAACTTGTATGTGGATTTTACTATATCAGGTGGGCTTTTTTCTTAATGACACATTTTAAAATATCCTTACCAAAATTCGTGGAGAGACCCTCTTGTTATTAAAGTCCAACTTAAGGCAATACTGTTTCAGAGTTGTCAGTTTTCACAGAAATTCACTAAATTTTTATCTAATGACCATACCTAACCTGCCCTCTGTATAAAGGCCTTCGTGATTGTTAGACATTACTGAGAAACAGAACAATGTGAAAAAAATGAATACCTTGTGGCAGACATTTTTGTCTTTTAAATAAAATGCTATCTTTGAAAATTGCTGTCCTGGAATCTGTACCTAACTATTAATGAGGTCATTTTGAAGTAGCTGTAACTATCAATAAATTTCATTGGAGGTCGTGAATGTTAGGTTAGGTTTATGAGTTACAGTATATCCCTATGCAATTAAAATAATCTTGAACATATATGTAAAACAGCAGAGAGTTAGCACCCGGTCAGTCCTTCACTTTAAAGGGAGAAACAAGTATCTTTTTACGAATTTGTCATGTCATTGTTGCATTTGTAGTATTGGTTAATACAGGTGGTTCTCATCTCAAATTCCAGTTAGGTGAAGTACAATAGTAAAATTATTGGAATTAGTGCTATTTAAGCCAGCTTATTTAAATTCACATTCGTTTCCTAAAATATTACTATTCTACTTTTCAAGGTGTTTCTTGACATCTGTTTTTGGAAATCTTACCACATCTTGAAACCTAAATCCCATTCTAAGATTTTCTTTCTTTTTTTTTTTTTTTTTTTTCCTTTTGAGCCAATTTCTCCCTGTAGCCCCAGCTGTCCTGGAACTCACTATGTAGACCAGGCTGGCCTTGAACTCACAGAGATCTGCCTGCCTCTGCCTCTGCCTAGTGTGCTGGGATTAAAGGCATGCGCCACCACGCCTGGCTAAATTTTTTTTTTAATAGTAAGTTTGCTAACAATTATGTAGACTTTTCCAGTTAGTTTGAATATTAATGTAAAAGGTTGACTTGAAAAATGAGATAAAATTTGTTAAAGTTTAAATTTTCTGAAATGTATATATTATTGTATTTTTTAGTGACATTGTAAATTAATGTATGTTTGATCCGTTTGAGTTCTGCTGCAGTATGGCTTTGTAATAATATTGTCATAATGGGAGCTGCAATGTGGTGAAGATTCAAAGAACTTCCCAGTTTTCCTATTACCAGACTTGGAAATAATTTTCCCAGGCACCTTTTAAATTCCCGTTTTAATTGTAATTCTTTAAACTTTCCAGGAATGAATACCCATGAATCTGTAGTTGAAGTAAATAACTAGCATTGGAAGTGGACATGACTTAGTAAATTGAGATTGACAAATTCTGAGTTCAAATAAATTTAAGGATCTTAAAACTAAACTGAAAGTTTGTGCAGAACCCTTATTGCATACAGCTTGTCTTTATTATTTTCTTCTAGTACTTCATGGTTTCTTCTGATGGTGTAGCTGAAGTTTTGATGTGGCTTATTAGTTGCTTCAGGAACTTGGACATCTGTTTTGAACCCTGGCTGATATTTTAGACATTCCAGGAAGGTGATTCCAAAGTTTGATTTAATGACTCTTCTTATTTAAATCAATATTTTTCAAGCTGTTGCAATTCAGTACTGGGGAAAAGAGCTAGTTGAGCTGAAGGAAGTTTGGCTTGCTTTCTTGGAGCTATTATTACACTAATTAACAGTGGCTTGTTGTATATGCCCCTTTCCACACATCATATCTCAGACGTGGTTTTAGTATACCTGAGTTACCAGTTCAGAACTGGTAGTATAAGGCAGGTTTGACAAACTGTGGCCATTCTTTTGTATAGCCTGAGAGGTAAGACTATTTTTTACATTTTTAAATGGCTGACTGGAAAAGAATGAAAATATTTTATCTTGTGAAAATCAAATTAATGCCCAAATTAAATGCCCATAATTATTGGCTACAGCTGTGTCTATTCTCTGCCCCTCCCCCCTTTTTTTGTCCACTAAAAAAGTTATAATGGTGGATAAGGGTTGAGAAGTTGTGGAGAGACTGTATTGTTCCAGAATTCATATTTACTGTCAGGCTTGTTACAAAAAAAAAATCTTCTGTATGCTCTTGTCTAGGCTTATAATATTCCAGTGAAGCTTAAAATACTATTTGGTATGTAAAAGGACAGTGGGTGATGAGTGAAGGTAGGATGAGAGCAACATTAAATGAGAATGGGAAAATGAATGTCTAGTACCTGCATCAGTACTTATCCTGGAAGCTGATTAAATAGTAACTTCATTTTTTTTTAAGTGATATATTAAAAAATTGTAATTTTTATTCTTTGAGAATTTCACACATTATATTTTTATATTTACCCCCCAACTCTTCTACCTAGGTCCATTTCCCACCCCTCTTCCCCCTCCCCTATGCCCTCTTCATTTTTTTTTGAATATTATTTTTATTTCATGTGTATGAATGTATTGCCTGCATGTATGTGAGTGCACCCATGTCGTGCAGTGCCACAGAGGTCAGAAGAGGGCTTCTGATTCCCTTGGAACTGGAGTTAAGGACGGTTCATAGCTGCCATGTGGGTGCTCAGAATCGAGCCTGGGTCCTCTGCAAGACAGTCAGTGCTCTTAACCACTGAGCCATTTCTCCAGCCCCATGTCCTCTTCATTTTTGTGCTGCCCATATACTCATGGGTTTGGAGCCATTCACTGGATCATGGCTGGCCTATGGGGATGGACGGACGGGGACACACAGACACACACACACACACACACACACCGACACCCTTAAAGAAAACTGACTCCCTCCCCCAGCAGCTATCATCTGTTAATCGCTCCTCAGCTAGGGATGGGAGCTTGTAGCTTGTAAATGAATGTTGACTGGCTGATCTTACGCAGGCAAACACAGCTGCTGTTGAGTTCATAAGTGTAGCAGTCCTGTTGTGTCCGGAAGACAGTTTTACCCTGGTCTTCCTGACCTCTTGCTCTTAAAATCTTTATGCCCCACTGCCCCTTTTCCAAGATGATTCCTGAGCTTTGGATGGATGAGGTGTGATATAGCTGTCCCATTTGTAGCTGAGTACTCTACAGTCACTTATTCTCTGTGCTCTGACCAGTGGTGAGTTTCTGCTCTTCATTAACTGCTATCCACTACACAGAAACTTCTTTGAGAGTTGCACTAATCTATGGGTGGGTAGACAGGAATTTAGAGGGCAGTTTGGTACTATGTCCATTACTCCTGGAACCTATGGCCAGATTTACAGTGTCAGGCATTTGTTTCTTTGGAGCAGGCATTAAATCCAATCAGAAAGCAGTTATATTCCATGAGTATATCGTGCCACGTCAGCAGTATTGTAGCTCACAGGGTTCATAACTGGGTAAGACTTGGGTGACTTTTCTCCCCAATAAGTCTGCATAGCACTTTCCAGTACCATGAAAGCTAGCTAACAGGGAAGAAGCTTTCTGGTCATTACCAACTTGATTTCGCTATGTCCTGTGACCAAAGTGTGTGGTGTCTTTAGCAGTAGGCAAGAACCATCAAGTTTTGGAGGGCAACCATTAACAATGGCAATAGTCTGTTGGGTGCATCTTCATTCAGGACACCCCTGACCAACAACTTGAGTGGAGGTATTCGATAGCTGGCGCTGGGATTTTTATTTGGCCACCTAAGATTTATTTTGGAGATATCTATATTGCCATGTAACCAAAAGATTGTCATGGCATTCTCAAGAAAGAATTTGTTTTAATAAAACCAAAATATTATGCAACATTATGAGACTGCCAGTCAAATTCAACACACTGTTTTCATAATTATCCTGTGAATTAATGGTCTGGTGAAACAGCCTTCTGAGGATGTCAGTTTATTTCTTTGTGAGTTTGTTAGTCAGCATTAATAATGCACATTGTTTATAGCTTGGTACTATTGCTGTAGTTTGCTTTAGGAATTGATTTGGATGATGGGTTAAATTCCTT